TCGTTACTTTAATAAGACTTTCTTATGATAAGATGATCTTCAAAATCAGCCAATCATAATAAAGCCCGCTATGCTCTCCAAGACTATATATATCAGATTTTTTATTGAGTTTGTATTTATTATTATTAAGTTTTTGTGGATCGATAAATGGCATAACACCGACTATTTGACTACTAGTTGACATTGTACTATCAAGACATTTTGATAATCCAAAGTCTGATAGTTTGATTTCACCATTGTGCATAAGAACATTTTTTGTGTGCTAAATTTTAAAAAAAACACAATAAATTAAAATGTAGACAATATTGTTTGGAAAACGAATGTATATGAATTACCAAGTCGTGATGTGCAGCATTAAACTCATCATGAAGATACGTTACTCCTTCGGCTATTTGAGTTGCAAGTCGTAATTTTTCTATCCAATTAAGTTCATTTTTTTTCTTTACTAAATACTCTCTTAAATTCCCTTCATTTGCGAATTCCATCACCAAGTATAATTTGTTCCCTTTATCTATTGAGTAATTTGCGAAATGAACGTTTTTTTTTTTTTTTAAAAAAAAAAATACAACTTAAAACGTCATACAACAAAAAGCAATAGTCTCACCTCGGCTTATCCCAAAAAATTTAATAATTCGGTTGTGGTTTGTTTTGCCATGAACTTTCAACTATAAATTTTCAAATTAACAATAAATTAACGATCTTTGTTATAACTGTTTCAAATAGGTGTGAACAGATGTAGATCTATAATGTTCACACTTTTTTGAAAGTAGGTATTTCCAACCTCGTTTAAGAATCTTTTAATACAAGCTTCGTTATCTTCAATGTCAAAAAATATTTCTTTCAATGCTACTACTTCCGAAAACACTGTACAAGTTGTTGTATATACATAACCAAAGCCTCCTCTACCTATCCTAGTTTTTTCTCCGAAATCATTAAAAGACACATGTTTAAATTTATTATCATCGATAGCCTTTTGGACAGTTATAATCTCAAAAAAATGGTATCGGGTATATTTTGGTTTGTTGTCACATAATATGCACATAAATATTTATGCGTACGTACGAATGTATAATATTAACTATATTTGGTAACAAATATCGGAGTTTTCGTACCGATATTTCTATTCGTTATTTTGTAATTTTGTGTTTCCTCGTAACGGTAAGGAGGATGTGCAAACAGGAGGAACCGTTGATGTTACAAAACTGATTTTACACGCTATGCGAAACACAAAAAAATTATTTTACAATACTTGATCAGTAAGCTAGTGCATGTTATGATTATAATCCAACACCATTTTTTATTATAAAAAAATGATGTTGGATTATAATCGTAACATGTACTAGCTGACTGATCAAGTCCGATCAAGTACTGTAAAATAATTTTTTTATGTGTTTCACACCGTGTGTAAAATCAGTTGTGTAACATCAACGGTGGGTGTGCAACGGCCTGTTAAAATCATATATGCAGGGTTACTGTTACACCCAAACCACCTCTAAACAGTTCGATATTGATACGTACATACGTATTTGATAAATGCCAAGCAGTGAATATAGATAGAGGTTTTTATGTAATTTGAAATTACGAAAGAGGCACACAACTAAATGCATATGAAGATACAGATAGTTGTAATAATCTGAATTACTCTTTATTAAATTGTATTGCGAGCAACTATCAATTCGGGGTAATAGAGCTATTTTATACATGTTAATTACTATTTCATTTGCATTACCTCATCAGCATGTAAGTATAAATAACATTTAATAATTTTACGATCACAAAACAAGAACATAAATACTTAATTACCATTATGTACAAATCATTTCATTCGCATTAATTTAGCATGTGAGTATAAAGAACATTTAATAATTTTACGAAATAAAAATAGCAAAGCAAGAAATTAAATACTAATCCACCATTATGTACTAATTATTAATTTAGGCCGTTCTCAAGCACCTTATTCAATGGATCGGACGTAAAACTTTAATTAGTCGGAAATTAAATAAATCAATCTAGTGAGTTACCAATTCGATCAACAAATCAACGAGATACAAACCACCTTTTTTCTCCAAAAATTTGCCATTGATAAAGATCGTTCAAGCACTACGTTTACATTTTAGCATATCAAACATAATAAACAATGAATTCACAATAAAATTCACAACAAATTTCTAACCGGTCTAAAAAAAATAACCACTTTATTTTAATGTTCTAAGCTTTTAAAACAAATAATCGACACCTTGATATGAACGTAATTAATACAACCCATCTTTTACCATTTAAACAAGCCGTAAAGAATACTGCTATTCCATTTTTCGCTCATATAAACAATAAAAATTTTTTTTTACTTCTTGTTGCTGCAAAGCAACTTTCGCTAATGTTTCCATAAGTTGTTGCTGTTGCAACAAAAGGTTAATATTGGTAAAATCATTAAAGGGAGAAGCCGACGTAACCGAAG